TACTGGTGGAGTTACAGAGAAAAGCAGTGCTGTCTGTCTTGAGTTTGTTAAGGATACCTTAACAGTACTGATGAGAAATAAAGTATTTTTAAGGAGAAAAAAAAAAAAATGGCAGCGCTCAGTCACTTTTTCAAAGTCTTAGTTTGCAGTGTAGTTATAAGCAGCCTAGTCTAATTGTGGTCTCCTTCCTTGCTTTCTCTCCACCCCCAACCCTCTCTGAAGCCAGACACAGGCTACGGTTAGGCCATACTGTCCTAAATGACCATCTGTGAGGTAAGGTCTGTATTGATGACAGGCTTAAGATGTCTCTTATCATCACTTCTGAGATGGATCTAATAAAAATTACAGTGGTGAAAGCTCCCAAAGAGGTGGGCTGCGCTTTGTGGTTCTGCACAGGCTTGGTGCAGGCATCAGTGGCCATTGTAGTCCTGCCAGGCCCTGAGGCCACTTTAGCTGTTCCCACTGGAGCACACTCCAGCCCCGGAGGAGACTCCATCAAAATGTGCATTTCTGGAAGTTGAGCCTTGGTCTAATGGAGTTGAGGAGTGAAATTCTCAAGAGCAGTAGAGTTTGTACAGCACTACACTGGCAGGAAGAGCATTTTGCCCCCCAACACAGGTGTAGGTAAGAACACTGCTCTGCGGCACTTCACACCAAAAATGTAACAGAACTGTCCTAACTTCCAAAGAGATGTATCCTTTTTACACTGTGGCTTGAACTTCAGAGTGTAAATATGTTAGAACACTTTGTATTCACCAAGCAGAAGGTACGTGGAATTCGTTGTGGACAGGCAAGATTTCTAATAACTGAAGGCGTGTTTAGTGTGACAAATCCTGTGTTGATTTTAACAGAGTTCTGTGGCTTTCCAGGCTTCAGGTCAGTGACGCTACACGCTAATCTCACTAAAGGCATCTGTGTTTCGGTACTGGAACTCTTGAGGCTCTTTCCTTTTTGTAACTGTATGTATATATGTGTAACTTTAAAAACTAATATTTGGAGGGGCGGCATTGGGTTACTTTATTGTTGTGTTTTTTTTTTTTTTTTTAAGATGGTAATGAACTGTGTTTTTAAAAATCTACTAGATAGGCCACAAAAACATATTAAAGGTGAACAAATGAATGCTGTGGCTCTTGTTCACTTTTGTTAAAGACCTGCAGTTTTTTTTAGTGACTGCCTTGTGCTGGAGGAGTACAGCATTTCCCTGTCAGCTTCGGCAAGAGCCGTAGCACTGGGGGTGCAGCCGTCGTAGGCTTTGCCAAACTGAACACATTTGCCAAACTGAACAGGTTTTCAGGTGTGCTTCTAGATCTTGCAGAAGGGCCTCCTAAACCATGCACAGGCAGTGCTTCGAGGGCCAGAGGGTCTGCTGCGTAGCATTCCTGTCTGCCTCACCTTAGAGACTCCTCGTGCTTCTCCGGTGTCACATTAATTCAGGATCGTGCCCTTGTGTAAATCCTTAGCTCCCAAACTATGCCCTCAATCCCATCTAGCTGGGGCCCCAGCTGCAGATGTGGCTGGCAGCTGTGTGTGTGTGAATTGTCTGAGAAGATGGTATTTTGTCTGCATTGTAGTGTCCAAGGCAAGGATTGTAATTAGCCTTAGTAAGTGTAAGGAAAGGAGGGCTAGTAAGAATTTGTCAATCCTCGTGAACTTGTCCAGCACTGTGTTTTGTGCTCCTGTGGTGGCAGGCAGAGCAACCAAATAGAAAGGAGAAATTTTCCATCCAGTGAAAATGTCAATTCTGGACAAAAATTAAAAAGCAAAAATGTTGTTTTGTTGAAGTGGCGAGATGGGAATAGGTTGCCCAGAGAGTTTGTGGACGGCCCTTCCCTGGAGGTATCCAGGGCCAGGTTGGATGAGCCCTCAGGCAACCTAGGCTAGCTGAGACGTGTCCTGGCCCATGGCAGGGAGGTTGGATTGGATGATCCCTATGGCCCCTTCCAACATAAGCCATTCTATGAAATGTAAATTCTAAACAGTATTTTGGGTTTGGTTCTCTTGCTTTGTTTCAGTGACCACCCACTTACCAAGGAGAACCACCTACCCACCCCAAACACAAATGCCGCTCAACAACCTGTGGCGACCTAACGTTGCTGCACCACAGGGCCGTGGGCAAGCTCACAGGCTGTTAGTCTCTTGCCAAAGGCTCTCCCATTAAGTAAGCACAGATGTGCTGATCTACTTGCATCTGGTAAGTCATCCACACCTGGCTACACAGCTGGTGTCAGCTATTTTAAGATTTCCAAGTGCTGGGTTCACAACATGTGAAATGTCACAGGGTAGCTGCTCCCTACCACCTGCCACACGGTCCTCAAGACTGATAGCTCTCACTGAGAACATTGGTCTGCATTGATGGTGTCAGAGTAAAAGCAGGCAGGAGAGCTGAGGGACAGAGCCGTGCTGTGGGTTCCCTGGTTGTGGACACCAGCTGAGGATGGTTCATGTTACTTGGCCTCTTCACAAGGCGGTGGGGCCCAGCTGAATCCTGAATGAGAGAGAAAGAATCCCCACCTCCTGCAGCCCGAGTGTTCTGTAGAGGTTCCCCAAACAACAGAGCAAGTCTGGCCCTGCTTTGCTTCTCCTGAGCATTAGAACTAGAACCCAGGTCACCAGCACCTGGCTCTGAAAAAAAAAACGCTTGGCTGGGTCGTTGGGCACCGGTGTGGAAGATCATCTACTGAGACAGGAGATTCCTCACGCTTTGCTGTAACCTTTTCTGCTGGACTGTCTGTTCCTTCCCCTTGATTTGCTGCAACTGAAGCGTGTATGCCGTCCTTGCCAGCAGAAACCAGCCAGCTGCAGGGACTCATACATCAGAGGGAAGCCTGCCACATCCATAGACATAAGACAGAATGCTAAAGGCCAGATACTGCTCTTATTCAAGGCAAGTAATAAAGCAGATTTTATTTGACTTGTATAAATCCCCTTTAATTGGCTTTCCTGCTAACACTTTCATTAACATGTAAATTAGCTGTCCTAGAGCTGTTAATTATCTTTGCAGAAAATGTTGGATATGGTCATATAAAGTACTCTTTCTTTTTTACCTCTCTTCCTGTGTCATACTGAAATGTGCCCATAAATACTCACTATATTTTTTTTTTTTTTGAGGGTAGGCAAAGAGGCTGAAGGTCTGTGTCAT